GCTTTGTAGTTGCTGGCTTTCAGATTGGGTCTCAAATCTTTCAGATTGACGTTCTGTTTGTTGATGATGAGGTTATTTCTGTTTCTTGGTTTTCCTTCTGACAGTCTGGCCCCTCTGCTGTAGATCTGCTGAGGTCCACTCCAGGCCCTGCTTGACTGGGGATTACCTGCAGCAGCTGCTGAGCAGTAAGGGTTGTTACCAGTTTTCTTCTTCTGCTATCTTTGTCCCAGAAGGATACCCGCGAAATGTCAATCTGATCTCTCCTTTATGAGGTGGCTCTTTGGATATACAGGAGTCAGGGTGCTGCTTGGGGAGACGGTCTCTTCTTTATGGGAGCTCAAATGCTGCGTTGTGAGCTCCGTTGTTCATTCACAGGTGCTGGGCAGGTACGTTTAGGTCTGCTGCAGCAGAACTCATAAACTGTTTTTTGTTCCCAGGTGCTCTGTCCCAGGGATTTAGGGTTTTATGAGTTTCTGTTATGCTGCTACCTTCTTTTTTTTTCCTTCAGAGCTGCCCTGCCCAGCAAGGAGGCAGCCTAGTCACTGTCTGCCTGTAGAGGCTTTGCTGAGCTGCTGTGGGCTCCGCTCAGCTGCCGAGTGAACTTCCCTGCAGTCCTGTTTATGTGGGTGTAGTTAGAACTGCCTGGGCAATGGTGGGTCGCCTCTCTTAAGGCAGAGTCTCTCTGCAGTGGCGGTTTGCCTTGGCAACAGCGGGCTGCCTCAGCACTGGCTGACTACCTCCGAAGTGGTGGGCTGCCTTGGTAATGGCGGACACCCCTCCCCCACAGAGCTGGACCACCCCGGGTTCAGCTGCACTTGCTGTGAAACTCTCAATCCAGAGAGTTTCTGATTGCTGTTCTTTTGTGGGGGTGGGACTAGCTGCGCCTGATCGCCTGGCTCCCTGCCTCAGAGACTTTATTTATTTATTTATTTATTTTTAAGTTGGTGTTCCAGTCGCCTGTTCAAGAGGCACCATGGTCTGTGTGTTTTCCCCTGCGGCAAGTCACTGCGCTGGCTTAAACAGCAGCATTGAGTTTCGTGGCGCTTTTTTTGCCCTTGAATCTACTGTCCTGGTTCCCTGCTCAGTCCCCTTTTTAAACAGATGAATGGACGACTTCCCATGGCTCCAATTGCCAGCCAAAAGGGCACCCGGATGGGTGTATTTTGTACGGAGAACTGCTACTCCGGGGCGCCAACAAAGCAGCCGCGCGGGGCAAAGCAGTGGTGCCGGCCGGCACAGCCGTGCTGGCTGAAACAGCCGCGCTGGCGACCCATGGAGCTCCTCCGCCTGGGAATTTCCTAGTCTGTAGGCAATAAAAATGCGGCGTCCACTCACCCTCTGCGCTTTCACTGGGAGCTGCAATCCTGAGCTGTTCCTAAACGGCCATCTTGGATCGATCCCAAGATTTTCTTTTTTAAGGCTGACTAATATTTCTTTTTTTGTCCATACCACATTTTGTTTACCCATTCATCTGTTGATAAATGCTTGGATTGTTTCCATATCTAGGCTATTGTGAATAATGATGCAATGAATGTGGGAGGGCAGATCTTTCTTTGATATCCTAATTTAAGATCTTTTGGATATATGCCCAGGAGTGGGACTGCTGAATCATTTGATAATTCTATTTTTAATTTTTTATGGAAGCTCTCTACTGTTATCCATAGTGGCTGTACCATTTAACATTCCCAGAAACATGTTCCATCTTCCTGGACACTGGAACATGTCCAAGGGTTTCAATTTTTGTATATTCTCACCAACATTTGTTATCTTTTTTATGGTAATGGCCTTCATAATAGGTGTGAAATGATATCTCATTGGAGTTTTGATTTGCATTTCCCTTATGGTTAGTGATGCTAAGCATATCTGCTGGCCATTTGTAGGTCTTCTTTGTAGAAATACCTATTCAGTTCCTTTGTTCATCTTTAAATTGGATTATTTATTTTATTACAATTGAGTTGCAGGAGTTACATATATATATTTTAGCAGTTAACTTTTTATTAAACATATGGCTTGCAAATATTTTTCCTATGGTTTGGGTAGCTTTTTCACTCTGATGATTATTTTCTTTGCTGTGCTGAAGATATTTGGTTTGATGTAGTGCAACTCAACAATTTTGGATTTTTTTTTAAAAAGTAACATTATATTAAAAAGGTAGGACATGGAGCATTCATTGCCCTCTCTCAGCAGAGAGTCTTGAAGCCAGAAGTTGTGGTGGATTCCTGACTTGTTTGTTTGTTTACTTATTTATTCATTTTATATTGTGGCAGAGGCAGAAATGCTTTTGAGGTCAGGTCCTTGGAGTTCAGCCTGGAGTCTGATTCTTTAACCTTATCAGTTTGTAGTTTTTGGTGTTATTATCTATGAAATTATTGCCAAGACCAATGTCATAAAGTTTTTCGCCTATTTTTTAAAAATAATTTTACAGTTTCAAATGTAATTAAAAACAACATTTAAGATTTTAATCTATCTGATTTTTTTATATGCATAAAGATAGGATCCAATGCCATTCTTTTGCATATGTACATGCAGTTTTCCTAACACTGGTTTTTGAAGAGATGGTCTTTTTCTCCTGTGTGTATTCTTGGCACCTTTGTCAAAGATCAGTTGACCATATACGTGTGAGTTTATTTCTGGGCCATGTATTCTGTTCCATTGATGTGTATATATATATATATATATATATATATATATATATATATATGCCAGTACCATACTGGCATATTCAAATTTCTATAACTTCATAACATATTTTGAAATCAGAAAATGTGATACCTTCAGCTTATTCTTTATCAAGATTGCCTTGGCTATCCTAGGTGTTTTATCATTTCATATACGATTTCTATTTTTCTATTTCTCTAAGAAATGCCATTGTGATTTTGATAGGAATAGCATTGAATCTGTAGAATGCATTGGATAAAATGAATATTTTAGTAATATTAAGTTTTCCAATTCTTGAATGTGGGATACCTTTCTATTTATTTGTCTCTTCAATTTCTTTCATAAATGTATAGTGGTTTTCAGTGTACCAGAAGCAGCAATATAGAAGAAAGTATTAAGTGAAGCATTATGACCCTATCCTCAAGGAGTTCACCTTCTGCTGTGGACAGTACTTACTTCCTTCTATAATCATAGAGACTATTTTTACCTGAGAAAGTAATATCAGTTGAGACTATTTGCTACAGATCTGTCATTGTTGAGTTTGCAGACCCTGGGAATGAGTCTGAAAGCAGTAATTGAAACGAGGCAGGCACTGTGTTTAGGAGGAGAAAAAATAAAGAATTTGGAGATTCGGAATCTAGAGAATTGTCACTTAATAAGAAATTAAGTACAAGTCCTGCAGATCAGAAACCATTTAGGAAGACATTAGAGGAAGAGTAGCCAAAAGAAAGCACCCTTTCCTGAACTACTCTGACTTTTTCTGATTAGAAATGTCACTGGGTTCACAGGTTCTTTTCATTCACTTCATAATGAGTTGGCAGGTTATCCATACCACAAAAAACACTTTATTCTTCAATTAGTACAATTTATAGCTATAATTTTCTACAAAGAGTAAAAGTCAGTGTCAATGAGCACAGTAACAAAAGAATAAGTAAGAGCAACTGAGAAACCCAAGCATGGCTGAGTTAGAAAGGGGGGGTTGGATGTGGTGATCAGTTCACTTATGACTATGCTACTTTTTATTTCTGTGGTGCCAGGGAGTAGCACTAGAACCCACAAAGTTTGAGAGGGCTAAAGAGAGAGGGGGTTAGAAAATGGAGGGAGAGGAGGTCATCCAAACAAACATCATGAAACTTGTACTTTTCTCTAAGGACAGGTAGTTCCTGCACACTTCCAGGTGCTGAAGAAAGCTACCTACTGTACACTGTTGGGGGAAAGCACCAGCTGGTGTTGATGCCCATTGGAGTATGAAGACCTGGAGAAAAGATGGGTCACAATGAAGGGCCCTTACTGAAAGCTATGTTCCTTGGAAACTGGAATTTGCCAATGACCTTTCTGAATGCAGCTTTTACATCGTTGTTCCTCAGACTGTAGATCAAGGGGTTCAACATAGGGATGATTACAGTGTAAAAGACAAACACTATCTTGTCTTCCTCTGAGGATTTGTCAGAGTTACTTCTCTGGTACATGAAGGCAAGTGTCCCAAAGAAGAGGACAACAGTGGTGAGATGGGATGTGCAGGTGGAGAAGGCCTTGGCTCGCCCACCTGCCGACTCCACCCTCAAAATGGCTCTGATAATGAGCATGTAGGAGATCAGGATAATCATGACATTGGCTAGGAACATGAATTTTGCAAAAAAGAGAATGACAATCTCAGTTTGTGTCATGCTGCTGCAGGCGAGTTTCAGCAGGGGTGGGAGGTCACAGAAGAAGAAGTTGATCTGATTGTCACCACAGAAGGAGAGGGTGAAGGTGCATGTGGTACGCAGAATGGCCCCTGACACCCCACAGATGTAGGCCACGGCCAATAAGACCCTGCATGTACCTGGAGTCATGATCATGTTGTAGCGCAGTGGATTGCTAATGGCAACAAAGCGGTCATAGGCCATCACTGACAGCAGGTAACACTCCGTGCCTGCACAGACGGTGAAGAAAAAGAACTGTGCAGCACAGTGGCCATAGGAGATGACCGACTTGTCTGTGGCCAGTGTGGCCAGAATCTGAGGGGTGATTACTGAGGCAAAGCAGGCATCCAGGAAGGCAAGGTGGCTCAGGAAGAAGTACATGGGGGTGTGGAGTTGGGCATCCACTTGGATTAGAATAATCATGCCTACATTCCCCAGAAGAGTGACAAGATAGGAGCTGAGAAACACTATGAAGAGAGGAACTGCCAGTTCAGGGTGACCTGTGAAGCCTTCAAGAATAAACTCTGTCACAGTGCTGAGATTTCTTTTGGCCATAAGCTCAATATAGCTGGTCGACCTGAGGAGGAGAATGAAATTGAGATTTCAGAACTGAAGGTCTTTGGTTTCTTCAGTGTCAGGTGTTAAGTAAATGTCCCAGCCTCTGCTCAGAGAGAGAAAAAAGTATTTACCATCTTAAGAGTCCACAACTGGAAGTTACTATGGAGAGCTTTTACCTATCTCTGCATCCCACCTGAAACCGGACCTTGGTGCAGTCTTTCTTCAAATTCACTTGCTTATTATTGTCTGGGATGTTTTCTTTAAGACCAGACAATGTTGGACAATCAAGATTGGAAGGGACCAATAAGGGGTCTGTCTGTGCTAGAATACTTCCCCTAAATTGTCATCTAGCCCAGGTGTGCTCCAGAGCTGCCTCTATGCGGCGTCTTAGGCTGTGCCGGTGTGATTCCAGGCAGGGCCATTCATACAGACGTCCTGTGAATGGTGCCTCCAGGGTTGTCAGAGGCAGGGCCCTTTATGTGACGGGGACTTTCTATCCAGTCTGCCTTTGGAAAATTCTGCCTGTTAAGAAAGACAGATTGCTCTTTCTATGCCTTCTATGCATTAGTATTATGCTTGGCTCTGCATGTTGGATAAACCCAACTCTCTTCTAAGACAAATAGTGGTAATGCCTACTTTTATCTAGATTTTTCTCCAAGTCAGACATTCCCAGCTATCTCAAACATTCCTTGTGAGTACTTTCATAATCTGTTTTTGCTCTCCTATGAACCAGGTCATCGCCTGCCTTGAATTTCTTTTCTTGAGGGACTGTGAAGGAAGGTGATTCTGTCATCACGGAGCCCTTATTCTGTGTTGAACATTTCTGCATTAACTTACTGATTCCTCCCAATAATCCTAGTAGAGCTGTTATGAGTTTCACTGTTGAAATGTGTTATCTGAGGTTCAGGAAATTAAAGTGACTTGTCAAAGAATAAATTGCAAGTGCTGAAGCCAAGATCAAACAGTCATAACAGCAAGACATTGCTTGTATCCTACACTGGTTCTTCTTGACAGTACACCTTGTACTTTGTTACCTCTGTACTCCAAAGGTAGTTCATAGAAAAGGTTCACAGTGTTCAGTAGAATCAGTTTTCTGCAGAAATCACGTTGATTCTTCCCTTTTGGGTAGTGGAGTGAGTTCCTTTGTCAGCTACTGATTGCTCCGGGCTGTGCTTTCCAGGATGATACCCCTGGAGAGTAGGTGGAGGCTGCTCCATCAGCGATGGAGCAGGTTGGAAATAGGTTTAGGGACTTGTTTGTGAAATATGAGGTCCTACCAGACATAGAACTTCCACAAAATCCTTCATGGCTGCCTACTGATTTTGGTCTTAGGGATTTCATGGCTCATGAGCCAAAACCGAAATCCTAGTATTCCAGACTTGGAAAGAATACCAGATTCACCAAATTCCTAATAATTAACAACTCCACTAATGTGTGGGAATTGGTGCATATAAAATCTCTTGATTAGTGTTAGCCTTGGCAGGGACAACCCTGGTTCTCCTATTGCTCTTACCTCCTTTGGCCGAATGGAGGCAGATCTAATGGAAACTGAGAGTGGAAGGGAGTACCAGAGTACTGAATTTAAGGAGATGCTCAGGATCTTAAGAGCAGGAGTTTACGCATCTTTCTTCCAGTGCACTGCTTTTACTGTGATTGTTCTGTGCTCCCAGTGTCTGCTCCTTTCTAATCCACTGTCAAAGGAGTTTCCTATTGTTTTAAAATCTTCTCTGCTTTCTCAGGAATTTGGCTTATCCTTGGCTGTGGCTCATCACCTCATGGAGGTCCATCACCTTTAGTTCTGTTGAAACAGAACAATTATTTCAGGGTTTCTTAATTCAAATACCTTGAAAAAGAGATTTTTATTTATCCAACTGCTTTTTTTTTAATAGTAGCCAGTACACAAATTAGAATGTTGAAGGTATAGCCAACCCACATATTAATTCTCTACTGTGTCCAAAGGGACCATATGTGACACAAAACATGGCTCATGCCTTCAGCCTGGCTGTGGTTGGGACTGACACAGGGCATCTCTTCTAAACTTGTCCTTCCTATGACCATGACTCATTTTGAAACTTTCTAGTGTAGACATCTTGAATTGTCACTCCAATCTATTACCCTATTCTATGACTTAATAACTCTTCCTGAGGTAGCATTTTCCATGATTATTCAGCCACAGGGTCCTTTCTTGGGGGGGTATGGAAATTTTGAGGTGTGAAATCTACGCTTTAGGACATACTTGACTAGATAAACTCCCAGGACTCTCTGCTGTGCCTGTCTCTGAATCATAAGATTATAAACATGGGCTGGGTGAGGTGGCTCACAACTGTAATCCTAGCACTTTGGGAGGCCGAGGCAGTTGGATCACCTGAAGTCAGGAACTCGAGGCCAGCCTGGCTGACAAGGTGAAACCCTGTTTTACTAAAAATACAAAAATTAGCCGGCATGGATGTGTGTTCCTGTAATCTCAATTACTTACCCAGGAGGTGGAGGTTGCAGTGAGCCAAGGCCATGCCACTGCCTGCTAGCCTTGGTGACATAGTGAGACTTTGTCTCAAAATAAATAAATAAATAAAATGTTTCTTTGAGGCTCTTAAAAGATTACTTCAAATGTTTCAGTATGTGAACTAAATAACCACAGATTCAGATTTCTAAATAATCATATGCTATGCTTTACAAACTGATGGCGATATCTCACTAGCAAGTAGGATTTATGCTGTTATGATTGGTCAACCACAGCACCTTTTTTTCCTAGAAGGGCCATGACCTTTTAGTTCCGCTCTGTACGTGTCCTGCTGGACTTGCATAACTTTGTTCATGCAGCCTGAGAACAGATGCTGTCATGCTTTCTCGTTTTGACCTCTTTTGCCTAGAGGAATACATTCATCTGTCTGCTTTCTCCTGGAGAGTGGTAGCTACAACTTGGAATGTCTCAACCATGCAAGTCAGTGATTTTCTCAATGGGAAAACCTGCACAATAAGAACATTCCTGGAAACCCCAAGCTTATCTGTTAGTTTCTGTGCCCACATATGTCTGATGCCCTACATTTGGATGTGGCATTATGTCAGGCAAGCACCTGTGTGACTTGTTTCTCTTTCCAGTGTTTAGAGATCACTCATTGTGCACATGGCTGTCAGGGTGGGCTCAGCAAATCCCGACACACTGGGAGTGGTGGCTCACTATGCCCCTCCCAACACTGGTTGAAAATACCCACGATCGCCCCCAAAGACCCAGGACTTATGGACACACAGAACCCTAGAGTCAGAAAGGACCTTGGTGATGTGGTTCTGTGGTTTTCAGCTGTGTTTCTCAGCCTCAGCCTTCCAGGGCTGTCTCAAGGAGACACAGCAGTGAGATGTGAAGGGAAGGCTCAGCAGGTGGGTGCTGCCATTTAAACAATGAGGTTCTTCATTTCATTTTGCTTAGAAGCAGGGCTCTACTGTTTAAAAAATTTAATGCACCTGGTCGACTATATTTTCTTCATTTTGTAAAAGAGAAAATGGAGCCCGGAGAAGTGACTTTCACCCCCTAAGTCAAAAAACATTCCCTCCAAAACCAATCTTGGTGGGACCTCAACACTAGTGTCCCATTTGGTGCCTCAGGAAAGGCAACAGATTCATGAAAGTACAAACCAGAACTAACAAGTCCACAACAGGACCATAGAGTGGGGAGGACTTGTGCAGGACAGCCAGGGTACTCAGAGGTCGGGAGACATTTCCCAACTCATTACCTACCTCATTTTACTCCCTCTTCCTATAACATTTATTTCCACATTATCTTCTCAAAAGGTTCTTGTTACAAATGTCTTTCTTACAAATATCACCAGCAGGCACAATCTCCTCAGAGCTGGCTGGATGATTCTCTGTTCATGCTCTGAGCAGTGGGTGATGGTGTGGTGTAGGGGAGTCATAATGTAACTCGCTGCCAACTATTGTTCCCTGCACTTGACATATTTGTTACTGATTACAGCCTCTGCAAGGTGTGTCTTTCTGTGCCCGTTTTATGGAAGACAGAATTGAAGGTTGGGGAAGATAAATAACTTGTCTAAAAGGTCGAACAAAGTTTATGTTCGAAAATTGGAAAGCACATTGAATAGTCTCTGGAATGTATTTTATTTTCAAACACAATATAATTTTAGAATTTACATTACCTCATAGGGAAAAAGCTGGTCCTTGTGCTCCTGTGAGGAACTCTTGTGAGGCACTGTTAATCTTTCTCCTGTTTCTGAGTAGGTCCAAGGAGAATGAGATTGATGCTGTGAGAATCTGAAATCCATAAAAAATGCAATTACTAAATCTTCTTTTGGCCAATTTTATGCATATGCTAGAAACCCATCTTTGAACACACCTGCAGCAGGTAGCAGGGCCAGAGAGTATACCTGGTTTTACACAGCATTGCTGGGTAAAATTCAGAGCCTGGGACCTCAGAGTTCCTCTAGGCGCCCAGCTGTTTTGCCTTCTTGCCCAAACAACCCAATCTGATCCAATTGAATCCTTGGATGGTTTTATCATCTTGTGTACAACACCTAAGATGATGCTTATGTACAAAAATGATAATGTTAAATGAAAGAGAGATTCTCCCTTTTTCTCTGCAAGTCACTGTGATGATTTACCTGCCCTCAGTGGGGGTTGTGTGAGTCCATTCTTGCCTGCAAACCATTAATTAATGAATGTGACAGGGGTTCCAATTTCTGGGAGAAGCCTGCTCCCTTCAGTTAGAGCTGACTGCAGGAATATTAAATCCTCCTTTCTCTTCATCTAGGTAGGCAAACAGTGGGCCAGGGGATTAAAAGGCTCAGGAGGGTAAGTGGCAGACCCCGAATGACATCATTTCCCATGCTTCTCTTTGTGCTCTTCGGGGAGTGAGCACTGCCACCTTTATGCTACTTCCTTCAGAGCTAGAAAGAAGTGAAGAAATAATCCAGATCTATTAGGTTGGTGCAAAGGTAATTGTGATTTAATACTTTGACACATTACAGATGAAGAGGCAGACCCATGGGGTTGCGTGTCTCACTTGATGTCACACAGCTTCTCCAATGGCAGCTAGAGGTTGTGTGGGATGCTCAGAGAGGTGGTGAAGGCAGTCAGGAGGAGGAGACTGGGACTCCTCCTGGATTCTAGGAATAGATTCATTTATTAGCCTGGATTCTAGGAAGCCTGACTGAACTCATAGGCAGTTCTTCAGACCTCAGTAAGCCCACATGGCTTACCTGTCCATTCTATTCTGTGGCAGAACATTAAGCGCCAGGTGTTTTTCAGTTTAATCACCTGCCTTCTAAATATTCCCTGGGATAAGTGTTCAGTCATACAGGATATCTAACTTTGACATAAAGAAAAACTGCTTTGAGAATTGAAACTTGAAAATAGCTAAGAAAGTAGTTTTAAATGTTCTTACCACAAAAAATGTATATTGTAATTAACAATAACACAAATATTGTACGTATTGATATATGTATGCATTGTAGAACTACTAAATCAAGCTAATTAACATGCAATAACAAAAATGTTACTATTGTGAGACTTTGGGTAAATGATTTACTTCCTCAGGTCTAAAGCAAGTATAACAATTCCTAATTCAAGAGGATATTGTAAAAATTAAATTAAAACAATAAATAAGAAGTAGCCAAGCACTCACCGGGTCTATGCATATTATTACAAATTAGCTTGATTATCCCCATCAAGCTACCATTGATCTTCTCCACAGAATGGGAAGAAACCACCTTAAACATCATATGGAACCAAAGAAGAGCCCACATAGCCAAGACAATTCTAAAAAAAAGAACAAAGCTGGAGGCATCAAGTTACCTGACTTCCAACTATACTACAAGGCTACAGTAATCAAAACAGCATGGTACCAGTACCAAAATAGAGAAATAGACCAATGGAACAGAACAGAGGCTTCTGAAGTAACATCATATATCTACAATCATCTGATCTTTGACAAACCTGACAAAAACAAGCAATAGGAAAGGATTTCTTGTTTAATAAATGGAGTTGTGAAAACCGGCTAGCCACATGCAGAAAGCTGAAACTGGACCCCTTTTTGACACCTTATACAAAAATTAACTCCAGATGGATTAAAGATTTTTTTTTTTTTTTTTTTTTTTGAGACGGAGTTTCGCTCTTGTTACCCAGGCTGGAGTGCAATGGCGTGATCTCGGCTCACTGCAACCTCCGCCTCCTTTAAACATAAGACCTAACACCATAAAAACCCTGGAAGAAAACCTAGGCAATATCATTCAGGACATAGGCATAGGCAATGACTTAATGACTAAACCATCAAAAGCAATGGCAATGAAAGTCAAAATAGACAGATGGGATCTAATTAAACTTAAGAGCTTCTGCACAGCAAAAGAAACTATCATTAACGTGAACTGATAACCAACAGAATGGGCAAAAATTTTTGCAGTCTACCCATCTGACAAAGGGCTAATATCCAGAATCTACAAAGAACTTAAACACATTTATAAGAAAAAAACAACCCCCTCAAAAAGTGGGTGAAGGATATGAACAGACACTTTTCAAAAGAAGACATTTATGCAGCCAATAGACATATGAAAAAATGCTCATCATCACTGGTCATTAGAGAAATGCAAATTTAAACCACACTGAGATGCCATCTCATGCTAGTTAGAATGGTGATCATTAAGAAATCAGCAGACATCAGATGCTGGAGAGAATGTGGAGAAATAGGAACATTTTTACACTGTTGATTGGAGTATAAATTGGTTCAACCATTGTGGAGGACAGTGTGGTGATTCTTCAAGGATCTGGAAATAGAAATACCATTTGACCTGGCAATGTCATTACTGGGTATATATCCAAAGGATTATAAAGCATTCTATTATAAAGACACATGCACATGTATGCTTATTGCAACACTATTCACGATAGCAAAGACTTGGAACCAACCCAAATGCCCATCAATGATAGACTGGATAAAGAAAACGTGGCACATATATACCATGGAATACTATGCAGCCATAAAAACGCAAAGGTTGAGTTCACATCCTTTGCAGGGACATGGATGAAGCCGGAAACTATCATTTTCATCAAACTGACACAAGAACAGAAAACCAAACACCGCATGTCCTCACTCATAAGTGGGTGTTGAACAACGAGAACACATGGACACAAGGAGGGGAACATCACACCTGGGGCCTGTTGGGGGCAGGGTGGGAGTTGGGGAGGGGTAGCAGGGGCTAAGGGGATTAGGGAGGGATAACATTAGGAGAAATACCTAATGTAGATGATGGGAGGATGGATGCAGTAAACAACCATGGCATGTGTATACCTATGTAACAATCCTCCATGAGCTGCACGTGTACCCCAGAACTTAAAGTATAATATAAAAAAATAATTAGCTTGATTTAGTAGTTCTACAGTGCATACATATATCAAAGCATGATGTACACTACAAATATTTACAGTTTTTGTCAATAAAAAAATAAAGGGCTGGCATGGTGGCTCACACCTGCAATCCCAGCACTTTGGGAGGCTGAGGTGGGAGAATCTCAAGATCAGGAGATCGAGACCATCTTGGCCAACATGGTGAAACCCTGTCTCTACTAAAAATACAAAAATTTGCTGGGCATGGTGGCATGTGCCTGTAGTCCCAGCTCCTTTGGAGGCTGAGCCAGGAAAATTGCTTGGACTCACGAGGCAGAGGATGCAGTGAGCCGAGACTGCGACACTGCACTCCAGCCTGGTGACAGAGTGAGACTCCATCAAAAAAAAAAAAAAAAAAAAAAAAGGCTGCTTTAATGGTGGAAAATTAGTCAAAACAACAGAGCAGACAAAAGCCATAACTGAGGAGGAGTCTCCTAACTCCCCTTGAATTCCACTATGTTGTTGCCAAGGAAAGAGGGGTGTGTGCCACTGTCTGACATGGTGATAGAACCCATGACTTAGGCTTCCATGCTAGTTTAGGAGTGCGGTGGGGTCTGCATTTTTATTTATTTGTATTTTTTAAAGAAATATAATACATATACAAAAAAGTGCCTTAAAATGAATACAGTTTATCAAAAAACTTAAAAAAGAAATACTCAGGCAATTGCTATCAGACAAAGATAAATAGAACACTTCCTCTCTCTAGAAGTTCGTTATGAGGTCCTCCCCCTTCACAACTCTCCTTGCTCCTGTATCTTGGCTATGGTTATAATAATTTACTTGTGTGGTTTAAAGCTTTGTCATATGTGTATATATCCCTATATTATGACTTTGTTTAGCCTATTTTTCAAAAAAATTGTATTGTTTCTAGTTACTTTCTTTAATAAGATGAATGCTTCTTTCTCGCGTAAGAGACCCGTGGATAGGCAGCCCAGGGCCCATATGGTGGATTAAAAAGGTCATCAGGGACTTGGGCTTCTCTTTTTCCCTGCTCTGCTGTTTTCTATGCATTGCTCTCATCTTTAAAGTCACTTTATGGTCCACAATAGCTTCTAGGGCTCCAGCCATCACATCCGTTCCCCAGGCCAGAAGAAAGAAAAACCAAAGGAAAGTGTTTTGAGGTTTGTGCTATTACAACAATACTTCATGAACATTCTGGACGCATATCCCAGTGTGCATGGGCAAGAGTTTCACCAGTGTGTATAGCTAGCTCATTGGAATAGCTGGGTCATTGCTTGTCTATTTTTATTCCTAAAGGATTGCCAAATTACTTTATAAAGTTGTTAAACCCATTTATACTACTCATTTTTCATATCTTTGTCAACGTAGTGATGTCATAGTTTTAAATTTTTGCTAACTTAGCGAACATATTGTGGTATTAAGTGTGCATGTTCCTGACAATTCTCATGAGAATAATCCTTATTCTCAATTTTCAATGAGAAGAAGCAGCTCTTTCTACATTTAGTAGCTATTTGGGTATTCTCTACCTTTGTCAATCTGGTTTTCTATTCTGAATCATTTTTACATGTTCAACTTCACAGTGTCCATGAAAAATTTTTGTTAGCCCAACATGGATCAGGTGCTTATTTCTGAATCTGTCCATGAAAAATTTTTATTAGCCCTACATGGATCAGGTGCTTATTACTGAATCTGTCAACTACAGAAGTATGGTGAATAATAATAATAATAATTATATTATTATACTTTAAGTTCTGGGTTACATGTGCAAAACATGCAGGTTTGTTACATAGGCATACACGTGCCATGGTGGTTTGCTGCATCCATCACCCTGTCATTTACACTAGATATTTCTCCTAATGCTATCCCTCCCCTAGCCCTCTACCCCCTGCTATCCCTCCCCTAGCCCGCTACCCCCTGACAGGCCCCAGTGTATGATGTTCCCCTCCCTGTGTCCATGTGTTCTTACTGTTCAACACCCACTTGTGAGTGAAAAAATGTGGTGTTTGGTTTTCTGTTCTTGTGTCAGTTTCCTGAGAATGATGGTTTCCAGCTTTATCCATGCCCCTGCAAAGGACATGAGCTTATCCTTTTTTATGGCTGCATAGTATTTCATGGTGTATATGTGCCACATTTTCTTTATCCAGTCTATCATTGATGGGCATTTGGGTTGGTTCCAAGTCTTTGATATTGTGAACAGTGCCACAATAAACATACATGTGCATGTGCCTTTATAATAGAATGCTTTATAATCCTTTGGATATATACCAGTAATGAGATTGCTGGATCAAATGATATTTCTATTTCTAGATCCTTGAGGAATTGCCACACTGTCTTCCACAATGAATTATTTTAATAAAACTGTTGTTTCCATATGGAGAGACAATGAGGATCAACTTTTCATGAAATCAAAGTTAGGTAGAGGAGTTCATATATTCATAAAATAACATATTCACTTAAAATACATCCTTTTATTATCCTTGACTATGTGGGACATAGATACATGCACTCCACCTATCCAGTTAAATACTCACTTACTTTATTCCTTGGTACAAAGGATTGAGTTATACATTTTCCTCAGTTCATCACTTTCATTGACTTTTACCATCATTGGTTGGTGATCTATTTTTCTTTTTCTTT